CCATATATAAAGAAAATGAAAAACTTCTTAAAACTTAAGAAAAGGTGAATATCAGTTGTGGGGGTTGCATTAATTTTGTTTTTAGCAGAAGAGGTCCAATTACTGTCCTCGGCACTGAGGACAAAGATCAGTTCGGGCTTTGAAGGGAATTAATTTCTCTACTCTGAGGGTGGGTCCCTGCCCTAATGTGATACAGAAGGACGAGGAGAGGGGCCATGTGCTGCCCTCATTTGCTGCCATGCAGGACAGAGAGGGTAGGGCAGTGCCCCTCAGTGCTGCAGAGACCGGGGCCCGAGAGCCCTGCCGGCCGCTGAGCAGTTGCTGGCTGTTAGTAGTTGCCCCATGTTTTTGCTATCGAAATTTGATTGCATTTCCCTAACGTTTTTAGAAATACCCTGTCAGTATGTTACAAAAACCCTGCTGTGATTAAAATAGAACAGAGTTGCCTTTTTGAAAATAATTAGTTTGATCATTAAATATAACTCCTTTATTATATAGCGCTTTCTACAGAAGTTGAATGATTTGCCCAAGGTTAGTGGTATGCTGACTTTTTCCCCAGACGGAAACCGCTGTTGCTGCCAGGAGCTGTCAGAAAGCAAATGTAACAGGCCTACATCTTACCTCTCTCATCTCATCCCTAATTCCAGCTTCATTTGTGAATCCGGTGAACTCATCCCAGATCCACGGGAGAGAGCAGTTGAATGATTCGCATCTCATTGGCTATTAACTAATCAGAGGAAGAAATTTTGTGTTAAAAAATGGATCAGTCAATTTATTTTTGTTACAGATGTTTCTCCTTTTCTGCAGTGACACCCTCCTCCCAGTCCCCCGCCCCCAGCATTGTTGTCCGTGTCCATGGTTACGCATACATGCATATGAGTTCTTTGGTTTATCTCTTCCCTCCCCCGCACCCCCTCCTCTACGGTTTATCAGTCAAAACACTACTTCTATGTCTCTGGGTCTATTTTGTTCATCTGCTTATTTTGTTCATTATATTCCACAAATTAATTAATTTAAAAAAAAGAAAAGGGGAGAACTTCAGAGTTAATTTGTACTAGGATATCTGGCAGAGGAACTTTTTAAAATACTTATAGACAGGAGGGTATAAAAGGCAGAAACCCTCCACCCCACTTGTTCTTCAGATTAGCTGAGAGCCCCTCTGTGCTTCATGAGCCAGATGTAGAGGTTTGCTTGCTTTGCTTCAGTAATAAATATGCATGCTTTAATTTTTTTATTCTTTTATTTTTTTATTTTATTTTTTTTATCTCACCCGAGGACATTTTTCCATTTTTGCTCAGAGTGGGAGGGAAGAGAGGAAGAGAGAGACAGAGAGAGAAACATCGATGTGAAAGGGACACATCGAGTGGCTGCCTCCTGCACAACGCCGACTGGGGCTGGGGACAAACTGCAACCGAGGTACATGCCCTTAGCGGGAACTGAACCCAGGTCTCTCTGGACCGCAGGCCGACGCTCTAACCGCTGAGCCAAACTGGCCAGAGCGCATGCTTTAATTTTTAAACAAATTCACTTGTTTTAATGTTTAATACACTTCACAGTGCAAAATAAAAAATGGATCAATCAAATGAAATTTTATATTAATTTTTTTCCTTTAAGTACACTTGTAATTAGAAAACTTATAACTGAAAATGTTTTTCTCAGAGCAAATGGGCTGAGTCTTGGAGTCATAGTGAATGTCCATGGAGAGACTTCTTTGACTTTAACAAATTCTTCAACAGTTTAACTTAAAACGGTTGTAATAATGAGCAACAACAAAAAAGAATCCTATAATTTGTGACTTTGACTCCAAATTTTGGAAGTGAGTTGTTTTCTTTTGTGGGCATGGTCAGGGTATGAGCTACTCTTTCCTCTTAGGATCAGCTGGAGACATCTGAAATTATCATGTTTCTTTTTTATTAATGTCACAAATTTAAATTTCATTTTCTGGAGGATTAATTTTATTTATTTTTAATCCTCACCCGAGGACATTTTTCCATTTTTTTTTGTTCAGGTAGAGTGGGAGGGAGAGAGAGAGAGAGAAACATCGACGTGAAAGGGACACATCGAGTGGCTGCCACCCACATGACCAACCAGGGCTGGGGACAAACTGCAACCGAGGTACGCGCCCTTAGTGGGAACCGAACCCGGGTCTCTCTGGACCACAGGCCGACGCTCTAACCACTGAGCCAAACTGGCCAGGCTGGAGGATTTAATTTAGGTGAGACTCTGCCATTAAGATGATTATAAGTTACTTTTAACCAAATGGGCTTTGAAGTTATATTTTACTTGACTTGAATAATCTTATTACATTCTTTGACTTAAAAAATGATGTAGGGTTGTAGGATCTGGTTCTGAAGTCGGTGTCAGACCATCCCCCCCACATATTACGGTAATAACCCCAAGACACAATATTAGGAGTCACTGTTTGAATGCACTGGAGAGCATCTCCCAAACGCAGGCAGAAGCGGAAGGACCGTGGGCAGGAAGGGCACAGCACTGAGTGAGATCGTGTTTTTTGGCCTTTCGCCATGAAGGTGCTCTCCAAATGCCTTATTTTTTCTGACTCCCAAGCTGAACGCCGCCGGGGCGTTACTGGCTTCCTGTGTCAGAAGACAGACTTCGGGGCTGTCAGAACAGCCGTATGTTAAAGGGGAATCCGTGAGCCACAGCAGGGAGCCCCCACGTCATGTAAACTCTCAGGTTCTCGGGAAGCCTGGAGACTCCGCGTGCCTCTGGGAGACCAACAGACAGAACCCCTACGGGCCGTTCCTGGGACAGCTGGTGCTGGAGCATGGGCTTCGGATTAGATCATAGTACTGTCTACAGTAGTATATCCATTCAGTTTCTTGATTTGGAGAAGTTACAAGAGAATGTCTTTGTTCATAGAAAACACATCAAAATATTTAGGTTTAGAGGAGCAAGGTACCTGTAATTTATCTTCAAATGATTGACAAACAAACAAAAAAACACAGAAAGCAATGGGGTGAACATCAACAATTGTGAATGTGGGTGAAACTTTATGAGAGTTCTCTGTACTGGTCTTGCATATTTTCTGCAAATTTGTAATTCTATCCAAAAACTTAAAAAGTTAGGGCATATGAAAGTGAAAGTATCTGATGTGTGAAGAATCACTGTCCTCTCTCCTCCTCCTCCTAGATGAGCTCTTTTGCTTTAGGTCATGAATCCAAGTCATTCACTCCTGTTTTTAATCTGAGAGTTTAAGCAAAAGAGTGATCAGAAGCTCAGTTTTTGTCTCAAAGTACTTCGAGCCTCGTGAGAAGAAGAGAGCAGGGCACACACCAACTGAACAAAATGTAACCACATGTTCATTGTGGTTGGTACACGGTGTGTGTTAAGATGGGCTGGCGAGTAGTTTCTACAAAGGGTCAGATAAACATTGTCAGCTTTCTGGGCCATTGTGGTCTCTGTCACATACTACAGTATTAAAGGAGACGTAGGGTGTACATGCAGGAAGGGTGTGGCTCTGTTCCAATAAAATATTCTTATTTTTTAAAAATTCTCACCTGAGACTATTTTTCCATTTATCTTCAGACAGAGTGGGAGGGGGGAGGAAGAGAGGGAGAGAGAGAAACATCAATGTGAGAGAGAGACACATCGATTGGTTGCTTCCCACATAACCCCAACCACGACTGAACCAGGCTGGGTACTGAACCGCAACCCAGGTAGGTGCCTTTGATTGGAAACAAACCTGTGAGTTTTTGGTCTGAGGGCTGACGCTCTAACCGCTGAGCAAAACCGACCAGGGCCCAATAAAACATGATTTACGCAGAGAGGAAGCAGGCTGCAGGTAACCCACAGACGGTGGTTGGCTGACCCCTCTAACCTGTTAAGAGGGTGGAGTTTTCATAGGAATGGCAGGAGTGCAGTGTGGTTCCTGGTGAAGGGCATGGGTCCCGAGGGTACACACCTGGGTTCAGACCCTGGCAGTGCCACTCACCAGTTTGATGATCTGGGGGGGCTTCTTACCTCCACGTCGTCCTCTGTGAAATGGAAATTCTGAGAGCCCCTCCTCTCTAGGATTGTGTACGTGTGAGCCTGGCTGTTGCCCTCCTGTCTTCTCTCCTTCTGCAGTCTTCTTCCCAGCAGCCAGAAAGATCCAGTCAGAGCAGAATCGGATCATGTCATCCTCATGATCCCCATGCTCCCTGTCAGACTGAGGGTGGGAGCCAAACTTTTCCTCGAGTCAGGCCCTCACCTCTGCACCTTCTGCCAGGGTCCTGTTTGTTCTGCCAGCACCACCCTCACTCTCCGTTTAGGGCCTTTAAATGGGTTTCCCCCTTTTCCTGGACCTTCCCGTCCTGACAGGGTGGCTGGTTCATTCTTACCATTCAGATTTCACAGAGAGAGAGCTCTTCCTGGCCTCACAGTGAAGTAGCCACGCAGTCCCTTCGATGTCCCTGTTTTAATTCTCTGCCCCATTTGCTTGTCTGTGGTCCGTGTCTTACTGAACGGAAAGCAAGCTGCGATTCACAGCGCCTCGTCTACCTGATTCTCGGCCGTGCGTGCCCTGAGAACATCACCTCTCAAAGCAGGCGGCCAGTAAATATTTGTGGAGTTAATAGAATGAGTTAACACCTAACCCAGTGACCGGCCCATAACTGCGTTGTAGGTATGAGTTAACTAAAATCATGACTGATGGCCGGTAGGATGAACATACCTCCCATAGTAATGAAATGAATTATGAGTCTTGAAAGTGTGAAGAAGTATCTGAAGGTTAAGTCCACTCATCCTAAGGAAAGAAAAATCACAGAATCATTTGCAAGCAGCACTTAATTAAAAGTGTGAGAATGAATTTGCATGTCGTCTTCTTGGAGCTTTAAGCTATCAGGTTCACACTTTTCCTTTCTTCCGCACCCATTCATTTGTGACAGTTTCTATTGGAAGATAAACTTTTCCACAGGACCAGAGAGAAAGGAGAACAAGCATGGGGCTTTCAGAACATCCCTGAACAATGGAGTAATTGAGCTCTCTTTTTGTTTCAGACGTCCACACAGAAGCTGTTCAGGCAGCACTTGCGAAACACAAAGAAAGGAAGATGGCAGTGCCTATGCCTTCCAAACGCAGGTCCTTGGTTGTGCAGACCTCGATGGATGCCTACACGCCTCCAGGTGAGCGGCAAGCCCACCGTCTGCTTTGTAAGGTGGCGAGCGTGCCTTAGAGCTAATTCACTGCCAGCCCTGCGAGCCAGTCTTTCTAGCTGGCCAAATGATGGTGTTCGAATTCAGATTTTGTGAACCACAGGTCCAGAAACGGCATATATGCTCTAAATTAAACTTGGAAGGAAAGTTACCATCATTATGTGGGTATCTTTAAATATGTATATATGTATTTTATTTTAATTTTTAAATTATTTTTTTAAATCCTCACCCAAAGATACATTTTTATTGATTTGGGCCGGGGGTGGAGGGGAGTGAGAGCAACATCATTCGGTTGCCCCCCTGACCCCCACACTGAGGATTGAACCTGCAGCCTGGGTGTGTGCCCTGACAGGGAATCGAACCTGCAACCTTTTGGCGCACAGGTCAATGCTCCAGCCAACTGAGCCACCTGGCCAGAGCTAAATGTATATTTTAAACTTTTCATTGAGACTCATAAGTATGAAAGACTTAAAGTCTTATAACATTTTATTTAATGCTTCATATACAAAAGAGAAGTCTTATACCTCCATAGTTCTAACTGAACAGAGTTCTGTTTAGATTGGTATGTATATATTCTCAAGTCTTTAAAATGTAACTGTGTTGTAATGTAGTATTAAGAAACCAAATGAATTGAAAAATGTAGGCAGTTGCCTTGATTTGGTGTCATCAAACTTTTCCTTAAAGTGCAGACAGTATTTTGGTCTTTGGGGACAGTAATGAAAGGGAATGACTGTATGTCAATAAAACTTTATGAAAATGGGCAGAGGTCTGGTTTGGTCCATAGTCCTGCTGACCCCTGATCTAAATGGTTGAAGGTAATATCCCATTTACGTTTCTGATTTTAATACTGTCTTTATTTAATCTTGAATTTTATATAACTACTTAAGTTCTCTACTTTACTCTCTCAAATAATCAGAGTCTATATCTCATGATCTTCAAAACCAAAGTGAAGCAAACAGTCGAATCATCCAAGTAGCTATCAGAAATATGAAGGATTGAGCCTAATCTACTTGTTTTTTGTTTTTCTGTGATTTTGATTCTAGCATTATTTGTGTCATTGTTGTCAGACCTAAGTTTCTTTTCTACACGCCAAAGTTACCTTGCACACTACTTTGCACAGTTTTCAATGCCGCCATCTTTGTTCATAAGAAACTTAAGGTGCAATAAGAATAGTTGAACATATACATCACTTCTTGAGGTCTTTGAAGTTTAACCCTGAGTATTTGCAAGCAGAGAGGGTAATAAAGCTCCCACTTCAACTCAGAGATGTGGTCAGGTCTATCCAGTAATTCTCCAAACAGCTCTTAAGTATTCAACTTTGCATGCCATTGAAGGTGAAAGTCCTGAGCTTTATAAGATAAAACAAATAGTGTGCACCGTAGTCATTTTTTGAAAAGTAGTCCAACAAATGTTCTTTATCTCAACAGTATAGTATTCTCATAAGAAAGGGAGTAGTCCCTTTTTTTTGGCCAATTTACTTACAGTCCTTTCTTTCTTTATGCTTAGCCTCGATGTAATTTGGGACTATTTAAAAATCAACATAATTAATATGTTCAAGTCTCTTTAGTTTGTTATAATTTGCCAAAATGTATAACAAGATGGAAATTTTTAGTTTCATATGTTGTTTGTGCAACAAACAGAATGGGCTTACAAGGATAACAAACCAACTTAAACTATTTTTAACCCAGTGTTTGGAACTGTGCGGTATTCAGGAAGATGCACATTTTTCGGAGCCACTTTGTATGAGAAATGTTGAGTTTAAAATGCACTAAGCAATGTGATTATTCACATTATGTGCTTTTCCCCATGTTGAATCCATCCTCAGAAATGGTATTGTGTCATACATGATGAAAACCAGGACTTTCAGGAAAACAACCTGTACAAATGTCTTTGCAAAATATAAAGAACATTATCAGAAATGCTGTTTTTGGCATAACATTTGCATTTAATTATCTGACTAGAATTTTCATGTCTACCACATTATACACTTGGTAACTGTCATTCAGGAGTCCTACTGATAATGTCACACGAGATAGTTTTGAACAGTCATAAATTATTTATAATCGTATTTGCTTGAACAGAATCTTGGGTCAGGTTCATTTTCTTTCATTTTGGTTTTCTGTTTTTTTTGTTTGCTGGTAACTTGTTAGAACTCATTTCATGTCCACTGCTCTTCAAGGAATATTCCTGAAGTTTATCTTCTCTACATGAAATGTGTGGTTGCTGACCAGTGTCATAGTTTCTGGAAAAAATCTTACTAGGATCATTACACTTCCAGTCTTCTACAGATGAAACTTACCTTTAGTTTTCTAGGTTTACTTTTAGAACTGACCTAGGCACTATAAACAGCTGTAAAACAGCACAGAGCCAGTGAGACCACCGTTTGTGGACTGGAGATCTCAAGCAGCGCAAGACTGAACCCAGAGCAGAACAACTCACGCGGTGAGCCCTGCAGTTCTCAGTCCTCCACCTGGAGGAAGTGCTCAGACTGTGGCACAGACGTTGGGGTCTGAGCGAGTGTGGCCACCCTGCCAGGTGAGGAGGGCTGAGGTCCAAGTTCAGGGAAGACAAAGGGGCTGAAGCTTTTCACAGATCCCGCTAGCAAAAGTAATCCAAGTCTGCCCAAGATTGGGAGGATCAACCAGTAACTGAAGTCAATGCTCAAGTAAAATTCAAGGCTTCAGAAGAAGACTATAGAATTCAGAGTTTCCTCAACATACCACCCACAGTATCTAGTGCTCAATAAACAATATGTGGCTATGCAGAGAAATAGGAAGTATAAGCGGTGCCCATAGAAAAAGGACTCAATAGAAAACCAATGAAAGGTGGCTTAAGTTTGCCTTTTGTGTACTAATCACCTGTCGAGCACACACTGTTTCTGGTCTCAATTGTATTTGCCATAAGCATGAAATACATACAGATTTTGAAGAGTTTATTTAAAAAAAAAACAACCTGAAAAATATTGTACTAACTTTTATAGTTGTTATATGTTGGAACAATATATTGAATGTTTTGTGTTAAAATAGATTATTAAAATTAATTGTACCTATTCATGTATTTCATAATGTGGCTACCAGAAGTTTTAAAACTACATACAGATTCAGAAATTCAGTGAACCCCAAACAGGATAAGCCTAAAAAGAATCAAACCTAAGATCAGAAAAGTCAAAGTGCTGAAAACCAGAGATTAAGAGGAAATTTTAAAAGTTGTTTGAGTAAAACAGATACATTATATACTGGAGAACAATTATGAGTAATAAATGACTGATACAAAGATATAATAGAAGCCAGGAGACAGTGGAAAGACACCTTTAACATCCGTTTAAAAGGAAGGGAAAATATCTGTCAACTCATATCCAGTGAAAATATCTTTTATAAGCAAGGATGTTAAAGGAAAGGAAGACATGAGATGGGAAAGCTGAGGGAACGTGGTGCCGGCAGAACTGCACTGCAGACATGCTCACAATGGCACATGGGCCGACGGGGAATGCTGCAAGAGGAGCACTTAACATCTGCAGAAAGGAAGAACACTCGAAACAATAAACTGCTGAACAAACAAAATAATTATGTTTTTTCCTCATAATTTGCTTTAAAACAACATTGCACAAAAGACAGGGACAGGTGAGTCTAATTACCCTGTTGTATGGTTATTACGTTTGTGAAGTAAGAAAGTGTGTAGTGTCAGATTTGAAGAGAAAACAGTTACAATGTTGACCCAATATAGACCCATCGAGGATGCATATTGTTAGCCCTAGAGCAGCCACTAAAACGAGAAGAGATAGATGTGACCCGTGAATCCATAAAAATTCTAGAAGAAAATGTAGGCCACAAAATTTCGAACGTCATATGCAGCAGAATTTTCACTGATACATCACCTAAGGCAACAGAAACAAAGGAAAAAATGAAGACATGGGACTACATCAAACTCAAAAGCTTCTACACAGCAAAAGAAACAACCATCAAAATGGAAAGGCAACCCACTGTATGGGAGAACATCATTGCCAATGATACATCAGATAAAGGGTTAATTTCCAAAATATATAGAGTACTCATACAACTCAACAAAAGGAAGACAAAGAACCAAATTAAAAAATGGGCAGAGGAGCTGAATAGACACCTCTCCAAACAGGACATACAAATGGCCAGGAGACATATGAAGAAATGCTCAACATCACTAATCATCAGAGAGATGCAAATTAAAACAACAATGAGGTATCACCTCACACCTGTTAGAATAGCCGCCATCAACAAATCATCAAACAAGTGTTGGCGAGGGTGTGGAGAAAAGGGGACTCTAGTGCACTGCTGGTGGGAATGCAGACTGGTGCAACCACTATGGAAAACAATATGGTGTTACCTCAAAAAATTAAAAATTGAACTTCCATTGGACCCAGTGATCCCACTTCTAGGAATATACCCTAAGAAGCCTAAAACACCCATCAGAAAGAATATATGTGCCCCCATGTTCATAGCAGCACTATTTACAATAGCTAAGATCTGGAAACAGCCCAAGTGTCCATCAGTAGACAAATGGATAAAAAAGCAGTGGTACATATACACAATGGAGTACTATGCAGCTGTAAGAAAGAAAGCTCTCTTATCCTTTGAGATGACATGGAGGGACTTGGAAAGTATTATCCTAAGCTAAACAAGCCAAGCAGAAAAAGACAAATACCACATAATCTCACTTATATATATGGAATATAATGAATGTAACAGTCTGAGGAATAGGGTAGACCCTGAAACACGGAAGTAGGATACAGACTGACAACCCTCAGAAGAGGGGGTGGTGGGGGGTGGGAAGAGATAAACCACAGAACTTATGTGCATGTATGCATAACCAGTAAACATGGACAACAAAGCCGGGGACAGGGCGGGAGGGATGGGGATGAGGGTGTCAATGGGGTAAAAAAGGAGAAACATCTGTAACAAAAATAAAATTAAAAAATAAAACTAGCCCTGGCCGGTTTG